CCTTGTTTAGACAACAATTAACAGGAATATAGAGGTAATTTTATTTTCATTTTGTAATTAGTCTGGCAACTTGAGTTAGCTTAGGGATTACGAACTTATGTAACCTCAATAAAAACACACAATACGAAATAGGTATAACTCTGAAAAATAACCAAGTTCTCAATCTAATAGGTACACCTCACAGGCTCAGACCAATGCGAGTATATTTTAAAACCCAATTAACTAAACAACTTGAATCGAGGTTTAAACTGTCGCAGTTAATAATAACATTAATTCCACGTCAATCCTAACTGCAGATAATTAATCTAAGTTAACAGATTTGACCTACTTATAACTAGAGACGGGTCTTGTCACTCCCCTATTGCTATGACCTTTTCTCGAAGCGAATCCGAGCTCTATTGTTTACTCTACTAGCTTTTCACTCTGTAGTTACCCTACCTCGCGTGATACTCATAAAAAACTATTACCTTAATTAAATGCCTTCTTATGCTAATGTTGATTCGTCCAGCTTAGCGTATCGATATGTCGGCGTTCGCCGGGCTTACATTAATGACATTAACTCGGCTTGCGGGACAGAGGTGGGACACAATGGACATATTATACTTATCGATATTTTTACTTTGAAACACTGTCACAACAACAGCCAGCCAATATTTACACAGTGACAACATCATCATTTCAGCCACAGGACGTCTACTGCTATACATGAGCTTACCCTAATGATTTTCAGACTGATCAATTGGTAGCGACCTGTATCCAGATTCCAGCGCCTTCCTGCTACCTTTATGTGGTCGTCTGTCCACGCTACGCAATAAGAGCTATAAAACTATAATATTTTTGTTGCAAAATAGTCGCTAAATATTACAACTACTAAGACCATACAACATGCCATGGCGCTTGGTTTGATGAATGAGTCGTTGTCGTTGTACTGTGACGACACACCAACCCTTACATAATGGGATACATAATGCTAAACATGATAAGTCACATTCATTTGTATCTCTATAAATAGACTTTTATTTTACATTTTGTATACGTAATTAAATTACCAATATACGTGTTTTTTGCTGAAAAATAGTCATTTACAATAAATATGAAATTCCTATTAATACTTATTAATACCTATAAATACTTGTGATAATTGCGTTGGTGGCATTTCGTAAAAGCTTTCATCTGTTTCTAAATCGATTAAGGGACTTCAAGGCTCTACAAATACTTTCTCGAAGTTCCTAATAATAAGAACATATGTACAGTAGTATTCTTACGAATTTCAAATACATTCTTAAGAACTACCGTAGCTTTTGCAGTAACACATACTTTAAACAATAATTGGATGCGAGCGGCGCAGGACCGGTCTTTGTGGAAATTCTTGGGCCAGGCCTTTGTCCAGCAGTGGATGTCTTTCGGCTGAAACGAACGATACATAATTAGGTAGGTCTATGCAACATTGTGTCTAGGTGGACCGACGTTCTGGTCATGGTCGCAAGAAGAACCTGGAAGCGGGCAGTGAAGGACCGGTCGTTATGGAAATCTTTGGAGAAGGCCTTTGTCCAGCAGTGGATGATCGAACGAAAGAACATTATGTCATTGAATTAGGTAGCTATGTTACATAGGTCTTCATAATGATAACTGTGGGTAGCTCAGACCTTTCATAGTGTACCTAATTTTTACAGAATGTAGAATCGATAATAACAAACCTATACCTCAAATTTTAAACTATCAATCATATTTTACGAAGTCGCAACTTAACCAGAATGACGGTGTTGTTGTTTATATAAATAATAACCTGAAGCATAAAGTCACTGAGATACAACTAGCTCAGGCGTCCTGTCTCCAGCTTCAAATATTAAATCAGACTATATTGTGCATTTATCGATCGCCTTCTAATGTTAATGCAGATGGTTTTGTAGACTCTCTTGGTGCTCATCTAGAGACTATCAATTCTAGCAAATGTATCATAATTGCGGGAGACATCAATATTAACATTGCATCTAAGTCTATTGAACCACCACATGAACAAAAAAACCGCATGAGTTACATGAATATGCTGTCTGTCTACGGCATATTAGCTGGTCACACAATACCTACACGAGAAAAGAATTGCTTAGACCACTTTATGGTAAAAATTGATAGAACCAATTTCTGTGCAACTATAGCTGTATTACAGACTAGTATTACTGATCATTACACGACCTTTCTCACTATAGGCAAAATTAAAAATCACCAAACTGCAAGTAAAACTACTTCAATTATAAATTATGAGGCTGCCATAAAGGACCTTAAATCTAAAAATCTCACAGAACTGCTTTACTGTACCGATCCAAATTTAGTGATTGACGGCCTAATATTTAAATTAACAGAGACAATAACTGGCATACACGTCTCATAAAAATTAAATCATTACATTCGGCCTGGTATTCGCGTCTAATAAAGATATTCTGAAATCATTACCAATAATTTTTGAAACAATACGAATCATATTTAAACAACTTTTGACAACTTGCAAATAATAAGTTATACATGTGCAAATGTTTAAAAAAAAAAGAAGAAAAAGAAAAATCCTGAATTTTATTTGTTGTACTTAAAAACTAGTCCTAAGTAACTTAGGTTCATTGCAGTTTCTGCAATGAGTTCGTTAGTGGTAGAGCAACTAAACAACAACAAGAAATGCATAACTGTATTCCTTGATTTACAAAAAGCGTTTGACACTGTCTCTGTTCCCATACTTGTACGTAAGTTGGAAGCTGTTGGCCTAAAGGGAACATCACTTGATCTCTTTAAGGACTATCTATCTGATAGGCGTCAGAGAGTGAAACTGGACACTTATACTAGCGGAGATGTTGTTGTGTCGTACGGCATACCACAAGGGAGTGTACTTGGGCCAACACTCTTTCTCGTTTATATTAACGATCTCTGCACTATGAACATAAAACATGCCAATATCTTCTCATACGCCGATGACACTGCCGTGGTTTTTAGTGCTGATTCCTGGGACGCTGTTAAGTCTAATGCTGAGAGTGGACTTGAACTAATAAGTAGGTGGTTACGTAATAACCTATTGACATTAAACACCGCAAAAACCAACTATATCTGTTATAGCATCTACAGCAATAAACAGCCTTCTGACGATCTAAGCATAAAAATTCACAACTGCAATGCTGTTGATGCTGATAGGCTGAACTGCAGCTGCCCGAAAATTCAAAGGGTCGAGCAGACGAAATACTTAGGTGTTTATGTGGANCTGGTAGAACATGTCATCTCAAGAGTCAGGAAGCTGACATGGATATTTAAGACCTTGAGATATGTGGTGCCTGGAACGGCTGTTGATCTACTGAGCTCAAACAGAGATCTTTTCACAGAGATCTATATTTCGTTGGTTCAGTCTGTCTTAACATATTGTGCACCAATATGGGGTGGTGCAGCTAAAACCCGCTTCATTGATGTAGAACGGGCCCAACGTAGCCTAATTAAGGTTATGTATTTTAAAAAGATTAGATTTCCAACACAAATTCTTTATCAAATTAGTGGCCTTCTTTCAGTTAGGAAGTTGTATGTGCTTCATACAGTTTTGAGAAAGCACAAATCCATGCCTTATAACCCTGACTTCACCAATAGGAGGAGGAAAGATATTGTTGCACATGCTCCTAGATTTAAAACCTTCTTTGCAAAAAAGCAATATGATAGGCGTTCTGTGTATCTCTATAACTTACTTAATAAGGAGATTAATATTTATGACAAAAATTATTTCGAGTGCAAGAAACTTTTAATGAAATGGCTGAAGCCAAAATCTTATGACGACATTGAGACAATCTTAAACTAAACTAATAAAATATAAATAAAAATAAAACACACATGTACACATTCACACATACACTCACTCACTCACATATACACTCACACACACACACACACACACACACACACACACACACACACACTTAACCCTTAACCACTGACGTACGTACGTGGTACGTCGGTCAAACGGTTTTTCGTTCAAAACTTCATTTTGTGCGGGAATTTTTGCGTGTCCTTTTTGGTAGTTTCCTAGTGGCCAGAGATGCGTATGCGAAGGCAGAAAATAAATGGGTAGCAAGTTCCTAAGTAGGAGAACTTGACCACCCGACGTATGTGGTACGTAACGTCAGTGTTAGTGTAACTTTTTTAAAATCGTATAAGTATGGTGGTCCATAGATAAAATTAATCGTTAGCAGTCTAATTTATTTTCTTTGTCGTCTATATGTAAAAAACCTCATTTAAGCCAAAAATATTGCAAATGACGAAGAAATTAGCAAAATATCCAGTGGATGATTTTTTTTTTATATCGATTGCGTCTTTCGAGGACAATCATCATGATGGTGAAGGGACTTCAGTTCGTGGCTTTGGATTGACTTCTTCTGAAGATTGTATAACATATTTTCATATTTCCTAACTAGTTTGAAGCACGGCACACTGGCGACCAGATCATCAATCAAAGAAATACTATAGAAAATAACCTTCCTAAATGAACTGTATTAAAAAGTGGCTTATTTTGTGAATTATTGCTATTGTGATTTTTTCCTGATTAAAACTGTTTTAATCATAAATATGGCCAAAATAAAAGTTCGTACTGTTATCGGATATTTTTGTGTTGATTTTTAAAAAATGCCTCTGTAACTTTTATTACCTCTGAAAGATTTCACCAATATCATACTATTCTATTAATATTATTATGTTTTTTATACTATCTTTATTTAATATAAACATGTGTAAATAATTTAACTCAAATTTCACCAAAGATACACTCTATTGATGCATCAAGACGACTTTAAAGTTACGTACGTATGCCGTACGTACGTCAGTGTTAGTGTAACAAAATGACACGTCAGTGGTTAAGGGTTAATAAAACACCGTGGTACTTCCTCCTCGTTAAAATTTACCTAAGATATGGTCTGCATTATAAATCTGAGTAGTAATCTAGCTTTAATATTTAATGGCTTATTTATTAAATTCTTGTTAACAGGCCAATTTTTAACTTTGACCTTATTTGATTGCGCAGATACAATGGCATGCCAATAGGCTGTAGCGACGATGAATTTCCCTGGGGTAAAAACACATCATCACCACTAGAAAATAAGCACCTGTATGGTAAGTTTATTATCTGAAACCTAATAATATCCTTATCTCCAAACTGCATAAAGCTACCTATCGAAAAAAATATTAATATCATCTTTTGTCTTATTATTCATACAAATGTGTGTTTAATAATAATAAAACATTTATTTTTCAGTATGCCATGCTGAAATGAATGCAATACTTAATAAAAACTCTGCTGATGTCAGAAACTGCACCATCTACGTTGGCCTCTTCCCTTGCAATGAATGTGCCAAAATAATTATTCAGAGTGGCATTACAGAAGTGGTATATCTGTCAGACGAGAAAGCCAAAAAACCTATTTATCAGGCGTCAAAGAGAATGTTTGATGCAACGGGAGTCAAATATTGGTATGTTCATTTCTGGATTCAATTAATTACTATTTTTATAGTCATGACACATTGACAAACTTAAAATTTTAATGTCATATGTTAAATTCATTTTCTTTTACAGGCAGTACAAACCGAAACGCGACAAAATAGTAATAGACTTCTCAAACATAGATTGGGAAAAAATGAGTCCTTGCAAGTAACAATCACAATTAGTCAATGCATAAAATTAGGTGATTGTCTGCACTGGCGTGATATAACTTAACTTTGGAAGCTTTGAGCATTTAGGTAGTTTCTAAATCTTTCTATCTAAATCATTTTTTTTTTTGCTAATCATGATTACTAGAATCTAGACCTCACTCATTATGCGCAGCGAGACTACAATATTTACACCTACCTACTATTATGAATTATGACACTTTACAATAAAGTTAATTATAAGTCTATATTTTGTATACTCATCATCAAAGACTATAGAACTTAGAATTATTGTATTGTATATCTATGTATAGAATTTGCCAATCATGGTATTTGTGATATTATGCGAGTCATATGAATATAAAAAGGTGTTAAATAAGTAGAGTACTTATTATACCTACAAATCTTTTAGAGCGTCATTTTTAGTCATATTTTGTGGCATATTAATGTACAGAGGTATAGTAGTTAAGATTGAAACAAGGTATTATTGTATTGTTTTTTTCGAACAAGCTGGCTTTAATTAATTTTAAAAAAATTAACTCAAAATATCCCTAGGGATACAACAGACACTAAGAGTCAAATAATTTCTAATTACAATTTGTATATTTTAGTCTTCCAAGTTGCGGTGCGGCGCCGCAACGCATCGTATGCTTTTGTTCGTACTTTTATAGTTTTAATCACAGCTTTTGCCAGCCTCTTTGAAATTAACAATTTAAATGATAAGCATAATATTTTGTTAATGTGAGTGATATATTTTTATATCATTGGAAATATTTTTTTAAACTAGGTAACCTAAGTAATCCTGAACTTAAGCATAATCTTACTTTTACATAATATTTAAATACTTATGTACCTAACAAATTGTTACCAATGTTTTTATGGTTTCGGGTATTTTTAAGTGCTCCACAGACTATACTGGCTATACATAAAATATAAGACGTGATTAATTAATATGTATGTATTTAAAAAAGAAGCGCGTAGTTTTGATATTATGTATTTGCAAGTTTTTATCGTGATGCACAATAATGCAGAAGATAAGACTGAACTTGATTTACCTATATGATAAGAGTTTTTAACTGAATCAAATAAAATGCAACCAAGACTGTTATGTATAAAAAAGGTATAACAACAACTAAAGCCCGGTCTGTGAGCACGTAGAATCTTGTCCAATGACCCAAGCTACCCATCCTTATCGCTCGCGCGTAATTATGTTGCTGTCGCGCTCGCACCGTCTCACAGTCGCGACAGCAATATAATTACTCGCGAGCGATAAGGGGGATGGGTAGCTTGGGGTCATTGGACAAAATTCTACGTGCTCATAGACCAGACTATATATAATATAAAGTTATTCAAAATTACGTAAGAGTATTAGCGCGTCTTCATCATCGTCATCGTCGTATGGCCAGTATTACGACAGCTCTGTGGGGTTTATTTAAGTGCATGAAATAAAAGAGAAATAATAAATTTGTAAAATAAAATTTTATTACTTTATTTACAAGATGACAAGGACAAAATACTCCATACACACGACTTGAATACAATAAAACAAATCAACATGGCGGCTCTCAAGTAAACAATGTTAAACATTCTAATAAAAAGCATGGAAAGGCCTATTTCCACTGAACAGAAAAACTAAGGAACATACTTAACGTAATAGTAACATATTACTACAGCATCGCTATTCAAATGGGTCCCGCCCACTTATAAGTGATATAAAATTGGGTAATTTAATTCTAATACGTCATGCTTACTTCAAAATACGTCTGAGCAGCATGAAGATATGAAATAAATAAATCAACGCGTGTCAGTCAGTGGAAGTAAGCCTCGATAGTCACGTGACGCGGTCCACACGCGTTGTGGACGAACCACTTCGATTCGGAGTATTCAATTATGTATAATATTTATTGTCCGACCTTTTCACATATCTACAAAAAAAAACCAAATCAACAAAACAAGTCCATTACGAGTACGAGTGTGTAACATCAGAACTCCACAAATAATACACTAGCTCCCCTGCAGTCAATTAATTTCAAGTCAACAGACCCCAGAATTCTAACGATATTGTACAGTACAAACTTAAATATAAGAATTATTTACAAAGCGTACCTCAATTCAGTAAGTATTGCGTGAGGTTTGAATATTTGCCACACTTTATTTTTCATACATTTAAAAAACCAGTCATTATTGAATATTACAAATACAAACCTTAGTTAAAATATTGTTACATGAATTCACCGATGAACACTTGAGTCCGCACATAGTGCGTCGCAGAGAAATCCAAAACTTGTAGACTATACCGAATTAGACCAAATGCTTATATTAATTATTGAAAAATTTACACTAATTTATTTCAAGGTTTTATTGTACAAGCATTTGAGATGCCACGCCCACGCAACCACAAACATACCACGCGTGCATTACAATTGTTCACACCATTATTTGGGTCTAAGTTATCCATATAACATATTAATACATTGTATTAATATAAAATGAGATTTCCACATCACCAATTTCAACTTGATTTTATTATCGTTAGAAAACTTCGGCGTTTGGTCTAGTTAGCTCGATATGTATAATATGAAAGGTGTTTTTGCTGCACTTAAAAATTTTTCCTTTGTACGAATGTCAATATTATGTAGTTGTAATAGGAGATATTTTAAGTTAAATTAGTAATCCGATATGCTGATGCTACGGTTAACTATTACTGAAAGCAATAAATTGAGAACTTGTATTGCATTTACATCAGCAATAATCGAAATTCTCGCATCAGTTATTTTTTTTTTAGTATTATCTAGGTAGGTATATACTATATTTCCCGAAAGTCAAAGGTTTTTTTAAGCTAAATGGGCATTCGTACATACTGAAACGAAGGCATCAAACGTGTTTGGGTTGGCGTAGAAAGTCGAAATCATAAAAAAAATACTAAATAACAATTTCTTAGTATTTGTGACTGCGTCGTAGGACAGGTGACAGGTGTCAGTTGACGTGTCATGCGAGGGTTGTCCGTGGCGCTTAAACGTAGTACAATAAAGCTGTTTGACACTTACAGCCTCCCGCGTGCGTTACAAATATCAGTCTCTTATTCATATTTGGCAAAGACCCACAACCGACGAGAAACGAGCACACAATGTCATTTCATTGCAGCTTTGAATATCGTTATACTCTATTACCCCATTTTTACCCCATAATGTTGGTAATAAACCGAAACCCCGAGTAAAATTCGTACAAGACGATTTACCGATGTCATTGTACCATCGGCAACAGTGTTAACTATCCATTGCCTGTCATGACGTCTCGTTCTATCGCAAAGAATCACCATTTGATGAGAGCGAGAGCAAAAACGGAAATGGATAGTTAACAGTTGGCGGTGTGTACATGATAGTAAAACTTCATCATATTAGCGCCTAAGCCCAACAAAATTTTTAATTCCGTCAGATTAGAATTTGACGCAGTTAGATTACATTCTAACCTAACCTAACTCACTGTTTACAATCTCACGCGTCACGTTATAAACTGACGGAGTTCACAATTTCACGTTGACATGTGTATAATATTAATGAGACTGCTACCACAGTGACTAACGAAATTAATTGAAAATTCGTGAAGCTGTTTTATTCATTGAATACACGTATATTACTGTGCGCAAAATTGTGGCGTTAATATGAAGTTGCTCTACTATTCCTTGCCCGTTTTTTACCTAAGCCTATTTTGGGGCATGTTTATCATCTCAGTCTAGCCTTATCTTCTGAAACGTCGCTCAAGTTTGGAGAATAAATTCGTGCCTCTAATCGTTAGCCCTTATGACACTGCAATATCTTCAAGGCTGTGTTTAACCGTTAATAAAGCAGAGGTAATATGGTTACCACAAAATTTTGAACTCTATTCCCTAGTATTTAAATCCAACAACTAAAAAGACTAGCTCTGCCGTATTAGCTCTGCCTAATTATTTAAATTTAAATTCAACCAATCATCTGCCGAATTTTGAAGACTAAATTGAATTTTATTTTTACAATGCGAGCTTATTTTGAAATTAAAACTTGATCATCGGCCGAATTTTGAAGACTAAATTGAATTTTATTTTCACAATGCGAGCTTATTTTGAAATTGAAACTTGCAACATTTAATCGGCACGCGTATGATCTCAGCAAGCGGTCGCTAGTTATGCAATAGCAAAGCAACGCGACCGCTATGCCAACCGACTAACAGGTGACGCTAGTTTTCATAATTTTTTCGCAGTCGCGTTGCAATCGTACACTGAGCGACCGTTTGCTAAGGGCCCTCGCCCACGGCGACTTTTAGCAGGTATTTTTTGTCGCGCGTTTTCGTAAATGAGCGACAGCATCGCTACTAACGCGGCGCGTTAGTCGCATTTGCAACGCACTAAGGCTGCTTTCACGTTACGGCGTGAGAAGCGCAACAGCGGCGTTTTTATAATGTGAAGGCAGGCATCCGCTGTCATATAGTAAGAAATTATTGGCAGCGCGTCTGTTGCGCGTTTGTCGCGCTGCTAAAGTCGCCTAAATGTAGCCTTTCGAACTAAGCTAACTTTGGTCTTAAAGGTAGCCTTTCGAAGCGAGTTAGTGACGCGGCATTGGTGGCACAAGACCAAAGCTAAAGACGCTGCGTCCGTGACGCTTAGTTCGAAAGGCTACCTTAAATGTAAAGCGCTCTAAAGAAGCGATGCCAACGCGCTACTGCATCGCTAGAAAATGTCGCCGTGTGCGAAAGCCCTAAGATTCGTGATATAGATGACCCAAGCTGAACTGTCCCACCAAACTCAATGACAGGGGGGCGCTACCATCGTTCAACTATATGGTTTCCAACATGGCAAAAATCGGAACCAGCGATCCGGTATTGACGGTGGCGCCCCACTGTCAATGTCATCGATAGGACAGTTGACTATTTTGGAACTATAATTTCTCGAGCGTAATTTCAGAAGGGCGGTGTTGGGCCTTGCCAAATATATCCGAGACGTGCTAGCATGGAGCTCAGTTAGCGAGTTCCTTCGGCTGCAACGCTTCGGTCGCGTCGGCGGGCGCGTCGGGCGCCGGCGGCTTGAAGGCGATCGCATACGGGAACTTGGCGCGACACGCTGCAATGTATTCCTCGATTTCTTTCTCGCACGGCCCGAAATCTCCCTCCCGGAGGCTCTCTAGCACCTCCACGCAACCCTGGAATCATAAAAAAATTCACAAAACTTATTTATTTTTGCAAATCTATATCTTATATATATAAAAGAAAGTCGTGTTAGTTACACCACTTGTATAACTCAAGAACGGCTGAAACGATTTAGCTGAAAATTGTCAGGGAGGTAGTTTAGAGCCAGGAGAAGGATATAGGATACTTTTTATCCCGTTCGAAATAAAAGGATATAGGATACTTTTTATCCCGTTCGAAATAAAAAAAAAGTCTGCTTATTTATTGCCATTAAGGGGGAACAAAGTTCGCCGGGTCAGCTAGTGGCTTTTAAAAAGCACTTTTACACGTCCCAGTATTAACCCTACCACTGCTTCGGGACAATAAATGGGCCAGTGCTGAGAAGCAGCGCAAGAAACTTAGTCACTATTGTCAACGTCCTTTTCAAGGGTTCACAGTCTTTAATACATACATGCATTGATGCGAGCTAGGCAGTTAAACATTCCAAACATTTTTATTTTTTATCTACTTTATAGTACCCCTTTTTCATTATGGTGCCCATGCGTATTCTTCATCCATTATAAAAAAAACATTCACCGTTGTGACTGGAGTTAACGGAAACCGCGAAAGCCAAGAAAAAAAACATTCGCTATGGAATGTTAAAAAGATACGCGTGTGGTGCGCTAGATCTAGATGGCGACCCAGTCAGTAGCTTCTTTCAGCAGTCAGCCCAGTCGCATCGGCACTGTCCCGATCACTGACGTACGTAAACACCCACCGGCGCGTGCCGCCTAGTGCAATCTGCCCTAGGCAGCCCGCAATGAGGGCTATCGTTTTAGCGCTCACCAGTTAGCGCCACTGTAGAGTAAGGTCCTGTCACTTGCTAGTAGCGAAGACAGTGGCACCAACTGGTGAGCGCGAAAGTGGTAGGAGGACTATCGCATTTGCACTCGTCAAGATGGCGCCACTGTAGAGTAAGGTCCTGTCAATCGCCAGGGGTGCCAACTGTTAAGTATTAAAACGATAGCCCTCATTCCGCGCGCATCTCTCGAGATTCGGCCACAATAACCGCGAGGTTGCGCGGCCCGCAGCGCGCCGGCCTGCGACGCGCTGCCCGGGCCCGCCAGGTGTGCTGTAATGTACTGTCATCATCATCATCATCATTTCAGCCACAGGACGTCCACTGCTGAACATAGGCCTCCCCCAATGACTTCCACATCGCACGGTTGGTAGCGGCCTGCATCCAGCGCCTTCCCGCTACCTTTATCAGGTCATCGGTCCACCTTGTGGGTGGACGTCCCACGCTGCGTTTTCCGGTACGTGGCCTCCATTCCAGAACCTTGCTGCCCCATCGGCCGTCAGTTCTGCGTACTATGTGCCCAGCCCACTGCCACTTCAGCTTGCTGATCCGTCGGGCTATGTCAGCGACTTTAGTTCGTTTACGGATCTCCTCATTTCTGATTCGATCTCGTAAAGAAACACCGAGCATAGCCCTCTCCATAGCACGCTGTGCAACTTTGAGCTTCTGTATAAGGCCTATAGTGAGGGGCCACGTTTCCGAGCCATAAGTCATCACAGGTAACACACATTGGTTGTAGACTTTCGTCTTCAGGCACTGGGGTATGGTGTACTGTACTGTACTGTACCTGTATGGACACGTGCGGCCAGTGCAGCGCGGTGGCGTGCCGCAGCGCGAGCGGCGCGGGCTGCAGGCGGCGCAGCGCGCGCGCGGCCCACAGCGCGCCGGCCTGCGACGCGCTGCCGGGCCCGCCAGGTGTACTGTACTGTACTGTACCTGTATGGACACGTGCGGCCAGTGCAGCGCGGTGGCGTGCCGCAGCGCGAGCGGCGCGGGCTGCAGGCGGCGCAGCGCGCGCGCTGCCCACAGCGCGCCGGCCTGCGACGCGCTGCCCGGGCCCGCCAGGTACTCCTCCGCCATTTGCACGGCGCTCCGGCCCGCGAACATCTGGAACGGACCACATTTCATTATCAAACCAAATCAAATCAAAAATATTTTGTTCATTTTTGACCTCTGGTGGCACTCATGAACGTCAATTACAGTAAAAAAAAATGATAGCCCTTAGGGAGAAGCCACACAAATGGCGTCCTGTGTGCCGGTATGCACAATACTAAATCTCTTCATATCTTATCTTGATCACGTTCACAGTGTCAGCACATTTATCACGTATAGTGCTGATGCTGTGACGTCATTTACCTTTGATCTATATCGTATAAATAGTCGCGCAGTTCACATTAATAAACAGATTAATATCAGAGACTAACTACAACCCGTGTATCATTCATACGCTCCCCTACCATGGCACATCCTGCATACATAAATCAATGATATGCCAGACGGTGCGTTCCGGCGCCGCACCGCACTTCGATTGAACGAGACGGTGCCGTATTGCGGCGCCGCATACCACACGTGTACCGATCTGAATTAGTGTTGCCGAACTATCGATAGTCTAGAACAATCGATACTATCGATAGTATTGATAGCTTTTTATTAAAAAGCAACAATACTATCCGATATCCGATCGATAGTATTGCACATATTCAATAGTATTGCCTCGTTTTGAGGTATCGATACTATCAATAGGCCATCGATAGTCGACTATCGATCGGCAACACTAATCTGAATCGGCGGGAATCGGCGTCGAGTCAGCAGCGGAAGCGCACGAGGCAGTCTCTCTCTCTCTCTCTCTCTCTCTCTCTCTCTCTCTCTCTCTCTCTCTCTCTCTCTCTCTCTCTCTCTCTCTCGGCCTGCAGCGGCAGCGCGGCTTCGAGCCAGCAGCGGAAGCGCACGAGGCAGTCGTGCAGGTGGTGCTGTCTCTCTCTCTCTCTGTCACCTGGTCGGTCTCGGCGCGCACGACGGCGGCGACGGCGGCCTGCAGCGGCGGCGCGGCGTCGAGCCAGCAGCGGAAGCGCACGAGGCAGTCGTGCAGGTGGTGCTGCGCCGAGTCCAGCCGCCACGCGCGCTTCAAGCTCTGCAGCATTAGCAGCGGCTTCTCTGCAAACCATAGTATAATAATGAGTGTTCGCGCTGCTACATCAGCGCCACCACCGGCGACGCTAGCGCCCCCTATGATAATCAAGCATGCTCCATAGAAAGAGGTCTATGGAGCCGAGAGATTTTTTTCTATGCGACGACCGCCAACGAAAGCGTCGCTTCCATTTTTTTACCGCCAACAAGAAAGGCTTTATTTTTCTGTAATGTACCTATAATACTGTTTAAACCGAAGTAAACCCCAATGTTCACCGAAGAATGGCTTATTATTGAAAAGGCCCCTATTTTCAAGATCCTACAAAACTACAATCTATAATCCTAATCTCCAAAAATGAGTATTGCATACAGTATGGACACTCCGCCCCACGCTGAATCGTCTCCACCCGCTGTCAGTTGCATCGAAGTCACCGAATGCTATGTTTTGAAGGCCAACCTTCTTACGCTCTGCATAGAGTGTAGGTCGTGGTGGAGTAGGTTGTTATGTCATGAGAACGTCAAGAATTTGTAATTAATTTATTAAATAAATCTACGTTAAAATTATGTACAATGTTTATAAAAGTGGAACGTAAGTCGTGTGTTATAATTCCGCAGCGTTTCCTTTAGATGTGATCAAATGTGGCTCGTGTGTAGATATTTAATCATCATCATCATCATCATCATTTCAGCCACAGGACGTCCACTGCTGAACATAGGCCTCCCCCAATGCTTTCCATGTTGATCGATTGGTATGTCTTATATGCTTGGTGTTTCTTTGCGAGATCGAATCAGAAATGAGGAGATCCGTAAACGAACCAAAGTCGCTGACATAGCCCGACGTATTAGCAAGCTGAAGTGGCAATGGGCAGGGCACATAGTACGCAGAACTGACGGCCGATGGGGCAGAAAGGTTCTGGAATGGAGGCCGCGTACCGGAAAACGCAGCGTGGGACGTCCACCTACAAGGTGGACCGACGACATCGTAAAGGTAGCAGGGAAGCGCTGGACGCAGGCCGCTACCAATCGATCAACATGGAAAGATATTTAATATCTACAAGAAAATTACAATATTTACACATTAGGCGAATGAGGCGACAATCACCCGACGATGTGTAGGTCTCAAAACTGATGATGATGACGTCACGCTCGAGTATCGTCCAACCCTTGTTATTATTATTAGTAATATTTACCTTTTCTATAATATATTTCGAAGGCCATTAAATGTGTGTCTATTCTATCCGCGGCCAGCGTCCGCAGCGGTTGTAGGAACTTGAGTGCTTGTTCTAATGGGTCTTCCGCCTGGAACAATTGAATGCAATGAATAATCAAAAAATATACAACTCAGGGCTGATTTTTTAATCGTCGGATAACTTTTAACTGACTTTGTCACATTGTCAGTTTTACGCCCGTATTCACAAACATTACTATGAGGTCTCACAGTGCGTGTGGACGCACAGGGTGACACACGAACCAATCACAGAGCTCTATTCAACGGCTCTATTCAGCGACTTCGCCTGCGTGAAATTAGTTTATAAAACCGGGTTAAAAACTACATAGTTTTCCCGGATTTTCATCAAAATCGGGTCAGTGGTTTAGGCATGAAAGCATAACTGACAGTTACTTTCGCATTCATAATATTAGTAGGGAATACGGATTTAACATCAACTTGTGTCAATAACTACTGCCCTTATAAATTATTATAATATGACAAACACACAGATTACTCAATCTGACTGAGTAACGAAGATTTAAAAATTCATTTTAATAATACACTCAGATTTTAATTATAATGTTGGTTTTGTAGACCTATGTCACACGTCATTCCTGTCATTTTAAATGCAGGTCAGTGCGCCAATGTTTATCCTTTCAAACTGTAATTAAAAGGATCCGAATAATTGATTTGGTTAATCATAAGACGTCGAGTATAATGACAGCGGTAACGATTTAATATTTCAATCATAATCAAGCACTATTTGATTTACTAACAATTAGTTAGCAACGCCGAGACAATGTGAGTAGAATCAAAGAAATAAGACCTTTATTTCAGTATCATGCGGTACATACAGTCGTGGTCAACTAATTAGGGACGTTATATGACTAAAACACAAGACCGTCTCTCCAGTCCGAAAAAAAATCTTCACGAGGCTTTGTAGCTTGTGCCTATTAATAACAAGTAATTTGGCTAGTATTCTAAATATTTAAAGGCCAGAAAAGAAACTAGCTAGTTGCGATCAATATTTTAAAAATAAATAAATCATTGCCACCTACACATTTATTGATCTAGGGATGGACAACTAATTAGGGACACGTAACACTTTCACTGTAAATGTAAATAAATTGGAAATTATTTAAGTGTTTATTACATAAAAAGTTTTCATTAATAAATATAGAATACAAAACAATATCATCAAACGTATTTTTATAACCAATATGGTTGGTTTTGTTGGTTATAACCATTTGACATCGGCGCGGCATGGATGCAATCAAATCATTACAGGTTTCTAAAGAAATATTATTCCAAACACCATTAAATGCCACGAAAAGCTGATTTTTAGTGCCAGTACGTTGAGCTGCAACTTTTTCCTTCGTTTCATACCATAAGCTCTATAGGGCTTAAGTCTGAGTTGTTTTCGGGCCAATCTAGTACCATCACTGACTGTTGCGCTAGGAACGATTAAACAGAGTACGCGGTATGTTTTGGGTCGCTATCGTGTTGAAATGTTCATGAGACTGGTAAGACTTCTGCAGCAAACGATAGCATCGTTTTCTCCAATATTTATTGGTATTGGAATTGCTCAGGTTTAACTTCAGTTCTTTTTATAGGTTACACTCTATGTCCAGAAAAACAGCCCCAGATTTTTATATTGCCGCCTGTATGTTTCACCTGCTTCTTCGTTTACTTTGGTATCATTTCGGACTTTATAGGTCGTCGCACGTATTGTCTGTCATCGGATGGAATAAGATTTATCTTGATCTCATCAGAAAACAGCACATTTATCCATTGAGCAAAAGCCTAATGTCCATACTTTCTTGCAAACGCCAATCTTGCTTCTTTGTGTTCTATCTTCAGTAGTGGAACTTTTCGAGGAACTCTTCCTACAAGCTTTGCCTCCACCAGTCGCCTTCTGACGGTCCTCGCAGATACTCCAGCAGTCGGTTCTGGTCCAAAAATCTCGCTCTTGATTAGAACGAAACCCTTAAAGGGGTCTCTCTTTGCGAGAGTGACCATGCTGCGATCATCTTGTGGGGTTGTTTTTATTGGCCTCTTCCTTCTAGGCATACTTTCTGTGGTTTCATGATTTTGAAATAAGCCACTGCATCGTAGATTCATGTTTTTGGAACATTTCAGATGATCTGCAATTTACCGGTATGGCCATCCACACTGATAAAGATTGATTACAACTTAGCGCATTGTTGCTTTTCTTTCAGCCCATTACCTTTAATAGTTAAAGTTAAGAATATCGCTTTTCAAATTGACGCCGAAATTACAAATGAACAGAATAAAAGTTATAACTTTTTTTTTAATTTAGAAGGAAAAACTTAAGCGTCCCTAATTAGGTGGCCAGACCGTACGTACCATAATTACCGATTCATGTGATTTGATTAAGATTTTTTATTAAGTTAGTAAGTTTTTTTGTTGTTATTGTATTCTGTTAAATAGAGTACTTGATAGTCAATATGTTTACAAAGTAACAGTCAGTAATATCGAATGAAGCTCACAATAATAGGATATGAACAGTTGAACAGTTAGTATTGCTTAGTATTCTATCTGTCCCTAATTAGTTGACCACGACTGTATTTGATCGTTACTGTTAGCTTTAGTTGAGTTACACAAATCCTGCAGAAGGAATATCGACAAAAACGAATCGAATTAAAATTTTCAATCATTTCATCATTTTTTATTGGCAGTAAAGCTGTAGATCCTGGCTACACAGGAGTTGCAGCGGTGGGAACGAGAGGTAATAGTCCCGTAGCGCGGTCATACATGCCCTGGCTAGTTTGTCCTGTATAAGCTGGATTCACTGGTTGGATTTTTATTGGCGGTCAAGCTGTAGATCCTGGCTACACAGGAGTTTTAGCGGTGGGAATAGTCCCGTAGCGCGGTCATAGATAGGTACCCTAGCTTTTGTCCGGTATAAGCTGGATTCACTGGTTGGGTTTTTATTGGCGGTCAAGCTGTAGATCCTGGCTACACAGGAGTTTCAGCAGTGGGAACGAGAGGTGGGAATAGTCCCATAGCGCGGTCATAGATACCCTGGCTAGTTGGTCCGGTATAAGCTGGATTCACTAGTTGGGTTTTTATTGGCGGTCAAGCTGTAGATCCTGGCTGCACAGGAGTTTTAGCGGTAGGAACGAGAGGTAATAGTGGTCATACATACCCTGGCTAGTTTGTCCGGTATGAGCTCATCCAGCTGCGGCGCCTCGGGGTCGCCCTGCTCCTGTTGCTGTCTCGCTTTGTGGTGCTGCTCCCGCTTCACCTGCAACGTTTTTAATTCATTTTTTATTTATTTTTATTTATTAGGTACACCAATAAAGTCACATACATTAATATGGTGCTTTAAACCTCAATTTCAAGTATACGTGGCATTTCTTTTTTCTGGTGTTTAACTTAGTTATAAGACAACACTGTATTTACCAATCAACCAAAAAGAATAACGGTATCTGGAAATTTAATTAAAGTCGTTTAGTCTCCGTTGCAAGAGGATCAGACCAGAATCAGATGGATGATTTGACTTGAGAAACTTGGACTTATGAGGAAAAAAATGTATTTCAAAGGCTATGGCAATTCGGAGATAATATGTTCTACAGATTACAGGTACGCATAAGGCTCGACGCAAATGGGCCACCGACCACAGCCACCGGTGGCTAGCGATGGCGACTAAACACACTTTTTGTATAGTGGCGAGTCGCAGTGGCCGCCACCGGATACACATGTGCACCGGTGGCTGTGGTCTGTGGCCCATCGACGTTACGCCGACACTAACTGAACCAATGTTAGCGAGACTTCATAAATGTGCTCCAGAGTTGTATGCTCTGTCACTTCATATCTCCTCTCCCATGACGCTCCTATACTTCTATACCTCAGACTGACTCAATTATGGGCTACACCCGTGCCGCCCCCATTCCTCAGGGATTTGTTAGATGCGTTTTCCAATATTTTTATATTCTTGTATAAAAAATTCCTCGAATATTCATGACCCTGCTTGTAATTTTGTATCAGCTTGACGGTCAGCGAACATCAGCGCGATTCTAAAACCAACCTCACTGATAGGTAAAATTTCGTATCGACAAAAATAAACATGAAAAAAAAAAAATTCATACAAAATTGCAAACAAGGTCACAACAAACGAATAAGAAGTTTTGCCCCTAGTAAAATGAACGACTACGAAATTTTGCGTGCGTTGAAAAGATATACAGAGAAAAATGGCGTTCGGAAATTTTTATACAAGAAAATTAATATTCCAGGATTTTTTTCTACGGTGAAAAAACTCAATCGGTATTTTTTATACAAGAAAATAAAAATATTGTAAAATGCATCTACCAAATCTCCTCAGTAAACGCTAGACCTGTAATTATTGACACGACATACCTGAACCTGTGCAGCCAACGCGCTTTCCTGCTCAGCTTTACGTTTCGCTTTCCGCTGTTTGTTTCTGAGCTTCTTCAGTTCAGAAGGCGCCAGGTTTTCTGTAGACAAAATGGAAACTTTTAATATCACGTTAACATACATATTCAATGGTAATACTGAGTTATATCCTCAGAAAACATGTTTAGGGCATATTTTCCTTCGTGTGAAGGTATGATAAGGTTATACTAATAAAACTTACACGCTCGTTGAACAGTGTTTTAAAGTGACGTTTAGTATGGAAATGTCATTTTAAAACAGAGTTCAACAACTGTGTAACTTTTTATTAGTATGGGGGCTAATTACTTCGTTACATAAGTACTACATACTTCAATTATGTCAGTCAAATTAGCTATTGCATCGACGCGAAGCCGTGGCAATCGTATTTGTATCACTTTTTTCTAATGCGTCATCAAATCATGTAACTCGTGGGAAATACTACGTTTGATATCAATTGTGTATAAATTCCTTGATGCTCCTTGACAATTTTTTCATATACAATTAGTTACTGAGAAATATAATAGTCGCCACGTTTTCCCAGTTAATCTAATTGAAATTGAACTTGTGTGTAGCGCGATTATGTTTTGAGACGTGACCTTTAAGGTCATGGCAGACTTATCAATTCGGGAAAGGGATCAACACCGCATTTCGCGCGCTGTCAATCGCGAGGTGTTTACGTTACGGTGCGGATAATAAGTGTGCGTTGCAGCAGGTTGCAGTATAGAGTTTAATACAAAGAATACTGACCACCTCGAGTTGATACGGTTACGATCTCTTTCCGGGTTGATAAATGTGCGTCGACCTTTAAATAGCAAAGATCTCAACCATTTCGCAAAAACATTCATCATGGTAAATCAAACTGTTTCCTTATTTTTTCAATATAAATGGTATGGTAACATTGAACAGCTCCCGCGGTAAAATACGGCCGGCTCCTGCGCCGCATTCCTGGCAAGTCGGGCGCAAGGCGGTCGCCGCAACGCCAGATCCGAAAGATAACGGATAATGAAGTAGGTTAGAACTTAGGCGGTATGGTCACGCGCATATTATCCAATTTATCGGTTTTACTAATTAAGGATTTGTCACACTGGATGTGGTCAGCGGTCAGCTAAAAATTAACGCAGCCCGTATCATGCATGAACAACTTTTTCGATATCTGTACAATTCGTATTGATGCGATCTGACCGTGCGTGCAAAAACAAAGAACGCAAACACCGCAGACCGACGATTTTGTTAATACGTGCTTCTTCTCAGCACTGGCCCATTTATTGTCCCGAAGCAGTGGTAGAGTTAATATTGGGACGTGTAAAGGTGCTTTTTAAAAGCATAAATAAATGAGATTTTTATACGGACTACGTTCACTTTGCGTTCAAGACTGCAGAACGCATCTAATGTGGCAATTATTAATGGGCCAGTGCTGAGAAGAAGCAGCGAGAAACTCAGTCACTATTGTCATCCTTGTAATTATACACGTAGAGCACAGAGCGGGTGTAGTAATCTTCGTGTAAATGAGTATTTATTGTAACAAATTCTGCTGCTGATAATGGGCCCATGTGTCTCCATGAGACAATAGTGGTTCATTAAGGTCGACCATGGCAGGCGGGGACAGTTTCGCAAGTGGCATGCGACAGGCCAAGCACATGCATGTACCAGTGTACCTATTAAATGAATTGATAATACTACCGCAGATACTTTACGTGCAAAATTCTTTATATTCATAGTTTGACTGGTCCATACTGACTGGCTACAGTGACCGACGAAAATACCCTTTGGACACCATTTTAATCAGACTGGTATTTTATGCTACCACCTCATTTCATCAGATTTAAAAGTGACTGCATGTTGTAAATTAAAATCGATTAACTTAGACCGTCTACGAAGGGGATGCCTCATGGGAAAAACGAGATCCCCTAGTGAAAAACCACGAGCGCCTTCCTCAGTTATTCTGCTGATTCTCAGTTATTGATCTGAGGAGCCTAGCCAGTAAAAAAACTACGACTGAATAAGATGCCGCATTGGGAATAAGCCTAGCTTGACGTGCGCTATCGTCTGTACCTAGAAACTTAAGCTTCAACCACACCGCTTTAGCTGCGACTCAACAAAGGAGTCTCACATAGCAAATAAATGTCGCCCTCGCGTCGTTTGTTTGGAAAGCGATTGTCTCCCGTTCACACGCATCGCATTCCTCGCGTTTCGGCAGACCGGATAGGTTGCGCGAGCGCTTTGTGATCTGCGCGATCCGTCTAGGACACGTCACGTCACAAATTGCCGCTCCAGTTCCCCCGGTGGCGTAAGCGCGACCATGGGCACGTCTATTGATGTGCCGTTCCCGAGAACGCTCTCCTCACTGAGAATATTCTCGGGAGCGCTCCCGGGAGCGTTCTCCTAAGTGAGAAAGGTTGAGAATCATGTTTATCAAATGGAAATAAACAAACTTTCTTAAGTAAAATAGTTTTAAATTAAGACGACAGTTAAGTGTATATTAAACAATACACTCTATTTGCAGAGAAAGGCTATATTCTCAGTGTTCCCGAGAATATTCTCGGGAACTTTCTCGGCAATATTCTCGGCAACTGTTCCTTTATTATATTTTATTTTTTTCGTCGTGAAATGTCGTTTTAATGATATGTAAGATGACAGAAATTTCTTTTTACATGCAATTAAATAATATAACTGTCAATTTTTTCGTTTTTAACACGCTTTTATTAGGTCGTCGTGTATGTAACTATGTAATGGAATCTTAGAATCTGAATTAGGTACATGCATTTTGTAAGTCTTGTATCATCATGAAACTTTATGCAGATTAGATGACAATACAATATTGTGGTACCAGCTGGTCTGATGATGGGACTGGAAGGTGGCCAAAGGAACTCCTAAACGAAACGGTGGAATCACATCGAGTTTGGGTTCATTGGATTTGTCTTTTCGATATCTTTAAGTGCTAGATAATGTCCAGGGTCCTAATGATGGAGTCAGGAGGTGGCCATAGAAACTCCTAAACGAAACGGCGGAAACTCATCGAGTTTGGGTTCGTTGGATTTGTCTTTTCGAGCACTTTAATGCTAGATGATGTCCAGGGTCCTGATGATTCCTGTTAGTAATTAAAAGCGTGTTTTTAGTTTTTTAAACTATTCTTTACATTTGACATTAAGGGCATATTTCACAATCGCTTAGTAAGGGCCTGTTTCGCCACTTCTGGATAAGTTGTGGATAGCCTGTCTGACGGATCATTTGACACATGTTTATATAAAATACGTGCTAGCTAGATTGATCTTAGTCTGTACGAGATTAGAATGGTTCTCAAAGAGCTGAAAAACAACAAGGCATCGTAATCACGGCTGAGCTGAAAGCAGGTGGAACGCCGGTACTAAAGGCTTTTCAGAAGCTGTTCGATTCCGTCATCCTCAAGGGAATTACGCCTACGGCATGGCAAAGAAGTATGGTACTCCTCGTCAAAAAAGGCGACAAAACCTTGTTGAAGAATTATAGACCCATTTCGGTTCTGAGCCATATCTATAAGCTGTTTTTGATATTTCATTACGAATTGTCACGCTAGCAGGCTTGACAACTTTCAGCCCCTCGAACAAGCCGGTTTCTGAAAAGGCTTTAGTACCATAGACCATAATAATATACGCTATGGCAGATTATACGGAAGATCAAGGAGTATAATCAGCCACTTTGCGTTTGTGAACTATGAGAAAGCCTTCGATTTGATTGAGACATGGGCACTATGGGCAGTGCTGCAGTCTCTCCAACTGTGCCAAATTGACTATCGATACATTGAAGTGTTGAAAGGCTTGTACAAACACGCCATAGTAACAGTCCGTTTCAAGATCAGGACCCGAAACCTATCCAGTTGCAGCGAGGGGTGAGACAGGGAGACGTCATCGGCACCGCCCTAGAAGATGTTTTCAAGCTTCTAGGCTGGAGCAGATTTAGCAGGAAGATCTAGGCACAATGCTCGATGGCCTCAATAGAGTCTCTTAACAAGTGGGTCTCAAAATGACCATGGACAAGATTTAAAAATCATGTCTAAAATCCGTGTTGCACCCACCCACTCCTCTCAAAGTTGGAGACTCTACACTCGAAGTTGTTGACAACAATGTATACCCGGGACAAACAGTCCAGTTAGGTAGGTCCAACTTCGAAAAAAAAGGTCAATCATCGAATCCAGCTCGGTTGGACAGCCTTCGGGAAGCTTCACGATATTTTCACGCGGCGTCGCCGTCGCGTCGCCGCTCCTCTTTAAATCCGCTTTGAATCCGCTTGAAATCCGGCAGAGTTGCAAGGGCCTTAAAACTCAGAGGCACACTCATGTTCAAATACCGTAGCCGAGTCCTAAAGCCGCGGTACGCGTTCGCCACGAAAAGAGTGAGCAAGACAGCAATATTTCACTCACACGTTTCATGCCTTGTTTATAACGACTAGTCTTAACGCCCAGTTAATAAAACATCGAAGCATTACAAATAATACCACATTAAAACTAAATGTATTCTGTCGAGAAAACTGAGAATATTCCCGGGAGCGTTCTCAGTTCTCGAGAATATTCTCACTGGGAATATTGCCGGGAACGAGAACTTTCTCAGCGGCACATCTCTAGGCACGTCCAAAGGGTCGCGAGGTCGGTTTGCGAATAAAAATTCAAATTGACCATTTGATATTAGTAAGAAACCAAAGTATTGACTTTGCGAAAATGTGACAGCATAATTCCGGGCAAAAGCTAGTAAAAAATAAATTAGATTGTTGCGTTTTGACAACTCGTAAAGGTGTGTTTAATGCCCAATTTCAGACGATGGATATATTTCGAACCTGTAAGACTCAGATTCCCCAGATAGTTCATTACTTGAAACTTCATAACCTTTTGTTGTAAAGTGACTTGTGACTGGCCATTTATGTGGTTTTATAACACGAGACTAATATGGCAGCTTAGGAAAGCAATTGCCAATCAATTGATAGTATTGATTACGCTAAACAATTAGGGAGGTGGAGGTTATTCGTGTAATATTTCCTTTAAAGATAACACGTTCAACGGTTTCAGTGCTAGGTATTGCAGTGCTTGATCACAAACATTCGTCAAGCAAGGGTCAGTAGCCGGCTGTCGTGGCCCT